TGTTTGTGGGACCCCAAAAAATCCCCTGAAACTTTTACGGACTTACTTTTTTTACTTTTTTTTTTTTTCCGACATTTTGGAGTTTTGAAAAAGGGGGGGGGAGAGAATTGAAAAATTACAATTATGAAGTATTGAATGACCTAATGATAAAGTTCAATGAATTACTTTTTTTTGCAAATTAATAACCATAAATTTTCAAACATATAAATACTACATTTTATGTAAATATTTTAAATTACCTGAATTAATTCTTTAAAAAAATTTTCTAATTTTTTCTTTCTGCTGCTTTTTTTTATTTTCTGATGTTTGTGGGCTTGTCTTTCTTTTTGTGGTGAACTTCATAATTGCAGGAAGGTTGACTTTTATTTTCCTCATTTACAGTTGAAGAAATTTTCTCGAGAACTGCACACATGCAGAGGTAGAAGCAGTTTGCTTTTCTGCTAATGTAGAAGGTTTTTCAGAGACTTTTATAGGTGACTCATCTGAAATACATATTTTTAAGTCCTCTTGATATGTTTTCCAACTTCTTTTCATATTCAATAAGAGATGTTTGTGAATTGGATCAGTCATTGGATTTTTTGAGCCATATTTTTCACATGAGGTTTCTTTAGAAGCCATTAAATCATATTTAATAGTCTGCACTGCATCTAGGGAATCAATCTTAATAGAGGTTCTATAGTCAGTGACAAGTGTATCCATTAAGTTGAATGCACTTTCCACCAATGGGCCATGGAAGCAGCTAAGGCAGGCTTTGACCAATTTAGCCAATACTTATAATCATTTGTGAAATAATCTTTTAAATTAAAAACTTTAGACCAATATTTATCAATTGTACACTTGACTTGATTTCCACTTTCATCAGATGTGTAGAGCATTTCTCTTTGGTGCTATAACCTTATTTCAGCTTCTACTTTTGACTTTTCATTATCACTAAAAATATGGGACATAAAAGGTGATAATTTTTCAAAAGCTAATATTGTACTGGTTTTACCTCTTAGCTCTGGATCTAATGCTGTAAAACTAATTAGATATGAATTTTTAAGGGGTAATTTCTGTTTCATATGCATGTGCTGTATTAGTATAAGCTTTCATCAGAGAAATTTGGAATTCTTTTGCTATTGGATGATTTTTTGATAATTTCTTCAGGAGAGTGGAAGCTTCTGCACCAGTAAATATTACTTTGCTAGGTAGATGGAATTCTGGATTTGTGACATCAACCTTCAATAAATCATTATAAGATGTGCACTCTATATTTTCTGGCTTCATAAAAAAAGAGAAAAATTTTGCCATAAATTTATAAATACTGGAATGTATTAAATGAAGCATTGGTTTTCTTTGTTTCAAATAATTTAATATATGCGTTGATCTCTGGTAATACTGCTGAATATAATGCCATATGCAATAAAGTTTTGTTTTGCATAACAAATAACTCATTTAGTATTCTTTTTTTTCAGAGCTAAAGCATCCTTTGTGAGTTGTTGGGAATGCAAGCAAGAATACACCCCTTCAACAATTTTTTTTCTGAGCTGCAGAAATATTTCTTTTATTGTATACAGTTTCAACATAAGAAAAATAATCCCCTTTATCAGCTTTATCCAAGTAGTGAAAATAAAATGCAATAAGAGCATCCCACAGATCTTTGATTCTTTCTAAAACACATAAAATGTACACCCACCTATGGTCTGGTCTCTTCAAGGGCTTAAGTTTTTTAATGGAAAGGGATTCACAGATTTTGAAAAAATTTTCTTTTTTACTGCAGCTTTTCATATCAAAATATATGTCATCAAAAAAATCTTCTAAGTATCTATCAAAACATGAAGCAAATTATTTTGCACAGTTATTAGCTGTGTGACATGTGTCACCATCAATATCTAATAAGTGGGGTGGGTGCTTTGTTTGATCGTAGTCTGGTTTCAACACCCTTTTTTTTTTCCACGCATGGTGTTGAGTCCATTAATACACTAATTAAGTCTGCCCATGGAATATTATTATCTTCAATAGTATTAACAACTGCTTTAAAAACAGCTTCTGAATTGCAAGATTCCATGTTTAGAGATGCAAAATGAACTACAACTTCATTTTGATTGTTGTCATAAAACTGCACCAATATTGCCAGTATACTTTCTTGAGCATTGCTAGTACTTTCATCCAAATTTAGAGAAAATGGAGTCTCCTTTAAAGTTTTAATGATATTTTCCTTAATAGTTTTTGCGAGCCCATATTTCGTCTTATAACATGCAGTAGTCCTGGACATTTCCAACGAGTTTAATGCCGTCTGATCGCGGCTCAACTGTTTGCAGAGTTCAATTAAATTGGGAGCTACATTGAAAGAAAGAGAATTCTCGGCGATAAACGAAGTTATTAATACCTCTTGGCATGCTTTTCTTGTCACTATATCCAATGGCCGAGCATAAGTCTCCAGTAAGTCATCAGTATTTTTTGAATTAGCATAATTACTTAAAGTCATTGAATGTCTAATGCACTTTGAATATTTTATGTGCGTCACAGTTTTAGAATGATTTGTGAAAGCCTTGAATCCTTCCCTACCATACTTCAGCAGTGAGTTACAAAAAACACAATATGCTTGTACAGCAACATTTATTTCCTTGCACCATGTGCCGATGGTATCCCCCATTACCATCTCTCCGTTCAATCTAATTCCACCTAAATGCATTCCAGACACCTTCTTCTAATTGTATAATATCACTATTTATATCGAGAAATTTCATAGTGAAATTCTCTTGCGTACATAAATAAAAAAATATTTCAATAAACGAAACGAAAAATTTACACGTGCATCAATAAATGAAACGAAAATTTTATACAGCGGAGAAAAAAAAAGTTGAGAAGCGATCAATGACAAATAGCTAATACGGCGAAAAATACCCCTTCTCTACTTATTGGCGCCACGCCAGGAGAGATAAGACCTTTGAACCCAGAGTCACGTAATCGCACATCTGGTCGAACGAAGTCTTTCCCTTTTTTTTCTGCCGCGCCTACTTGCCGAAAAGAATCCAGAAGAGAATGTCCGAGAACCGGGGGAATGAGTCATAACTCGCAATAAGGAAAGAATAAAAAAGAAGTTTTTTCCCCCTTTTCACGCATTATCACTGCCTTTGGGGAAAGAAAGGAAAAGTTTTCACCACACACACTGACCTTGCGTTTTCTGTTTCAAAGCAAACAAAATTACTCAGATCAAAATAAATAATTCATTATTATTCCTACTTCCTTTTGAACGACGATCCCCGGAATTTCCGGGTATCGAAGTTCAAAATCCCCGGAATTCCGGGGTTTTCCCGGAGCACAAACACCCCTGTACAAATCAAATTCATTTGGTGGCAAGTTTACATTTCATGGCTCAGGAAAATACAAGAACCCTTATTCCCCACACACAGTCAAGACATAATGCAGAATCCCTCCCACAGAAAACAAATCATAGTACTAAACAAAGCATATCCATCTTCAGAATTTCTGACCATTGACATTTTAATTGGTAGAATCGTAGATATGAGTCCATTCAATGGTCAAATATTTCTTCACTAACACTCAAGGACAGACATAGGGGATGTTATGCAGATCCAGTTATATAAATATTTCTGACAATGGAGCTTTTTTTGGTGCAGATGCTAATTTTAAATGCAATGCACTGATGTTATCAGGGAAAAATGAAAAATAATTACTTCAACTAAAACAATAAGCATTTTGCAAAAGTTACAAGACCAAGTTCTCCATTCGATAACTAGAGTGATTAAATCTACCGACTGCAGCTATGCAATTTCTAACCAATTTAACTCCCATAAGGCACAATATTCATAAAAATGTTATCATGTTTTATAAAATATCACCATATAACAAAAGCTTTGCAAATTGCTACATAATAATTATTAAAAGAATAACATTATTACAAGTTTTCATTACTCTTCTGCTGTTGCTTTGCTTGACCTATAAACTAGACACAACTGAATTAATGCCCATTTATTTTTAACTGGACTTGAGAACTCTCCGAATTACACTTTGTGCAACTCTCAATAATCTATAAAAAAGAAACATACTGGCATATGTATAACATTTAACAGTTTACTTTACTAAAAGTACCTATAATAGTAAGTAATCACCTCAGAATATCCAAAAACAATTGATTTCATTTGAAAACAACTGGTGCATGGGTTAGCATATTTTCCTTTTATACTAACATATTTTATACTAACACAATCAAGACATTTGCCACTGATTACATTTGAAATCATTTCCACATAAAAAGAGGTTGTCTCTTGAAAAATTACTCATGTTCAAGACAGCATGCATTTCTTTTGAATCTACCAATATCTACTATCTTGAATGTATGCATAATTCAACAACTAAACTGCTAGACAATAACAATACTAAAAACATTTCAGAAAATTATGCCACTCAAAATACTCATACATGTTTGTGCTGAGCAATGTATTTATATTAATAACTTAAATGTGTTAAACATAATAATTTAATACAGTTATTTTATGCAGAGTGTCAGAAATTAAACGATTTCTTCGAATTGGCGGTCAAGTTCCAAAACTCGCGATTTTCGCGCATGCAAAAACCACATTTTGAACACACAATTTAAGGTAAAAATCCGAAAAAAAAAAAAAAATTAGATAGCAAAAACGTAAACTTTCTAACCAAAAATATTTGACAAGAATCCATGTACATAGTGATATGTTTTACCTTAAAAAAAATCTACGAATTGTACAATCTAGGCAGCGAAACAATCTACGAAATACGCACACCTCGCTTTAATAAATTAACATAACAACAATAAATTTCAAAGAACTATTAATCCGTTCGTTTCAATTTTAAAAAACATCTACGAATTGCACAATCTAGGCACTGCGCACTAATCAACAAAATAAACTAAAATAAATTTCAAACAATACAAAATAACAACAATAATGGCAGAAATTCATACTAAAAAACAATGAACATAACAGAATAAGAACAAGAATAAAATAAAATGCACTTACCATGAATGAATGCTTTTTCGAACAGCAGAAATACCAATTTCATACCGCCATTAACATGCTGCCGCGTAATAACTATCGTATTTATATAACATCCATACACACTATCCAGAAAATTCATACTATGGTTCACAAGTAAATAAAATCACAAATCCCTGCTTCTATCATTGCACAGCCACTAAAAATAATCTCCCAGACCCTCTTTCCACAACCTCCAAATACCCTCTGTCTCTTAACAGGATGGCTACGATATTTCCTTTTGCCGAACTTCAATTCAACAACTTCCACCATTTTATCTTTTCCCCCTATCTTCTCATGACGCGAACCAACGAGCTCCAGCGAAGGATTTTTCAACGTCAACAGGGTTGCCATAAAACACGCAATTGCGCCAAAAACCAGCACAGAACACATATCGCCACATTTGGTGATCTTAGGGCGCATATAAGAGTAGAGCCAATTCGAATTTTATGTGGCGTAAGCGCCAAAAACATCATATTTAATAAAATAAAGTAAATACACAAAACGTTAATAATAAAAAGACCAATAAAAGTTTTCTCAAGCAATCTTAGTAAGAAAACTGATGACCCGAGAGACTGAAGAAAAACAGAAAAGTGTATGCCAACGTTTAACGCCGCATCGGGAAATCTAAACTTATACTGCTATGCTGATTTTAAAATTTTTGTAATTTTGTAGTTGAATTGTATAAGGCATAAGTGCGAAGAAAATGATGCTTAATAATAAAGCTAAAAAGTCAAAAATAAATAGGGTGAGTGTAACAGCAGACTGGTAAACTGCAAGCTCAGCGAAAGCGTAAAGATCCATAACAAACCCTTTAGGGCGACCATTAATTAAGATCTGAGACCTTTCGGACTTTTTAAGGTATTTTTTATATTTATATGCACAAACGGTTAGAGTCGATTGTTCACAATCAGAAAGAACTGCTAAGAGCGCAGATAATGCAATTATCAGAGCAGTTCAAAATATTTACACCTGATTTCTGTCGAAACAAAAAGTTCGGAATGAGTCAGATCAGCGATTAGAGATAATGATAGGTGAACTCATAACTGGAAATATTAGAAGTGGCGAGTTTAAGGTTTCGTAAATCATATTTCGTTAACACTACCAAATAATAGCTGGTGGCGCCATCTAACGGACCAACAAGTAGATGATTTAAAATTTATTAGCCCAAAGGCCGTTAGCCCAGAGGGCTATTAATTTCGTTTTGGCATTTTGCGTTGCAATCTTTAAATATCGATTCACTTTTCAAATTGTTGCCACCAAATATCATCGCCCTGTGTTATATTTAAAGAAATTAAATAAGGAAGAATCTGCATAAATATATCTATGTTTCTCTCATTGTGATAAAAAACCAACGGTACCTAGAGAAATCAAATTTTGAAAAACGTGATTCTTCATCGAACATGGGCATCTGGAAACCCTGATTTGGAATTTGGAATTTGTTATATTATTGATTTCATATTTTGTAACACTTTAACGAATTTTTAATTGAAAAACGCAACGATTTCAAAGCGAGCAACACTGTACGGAAAAGAAAATTAAATAATAATAATAATAATAATAATGCATAAATAAATAAATAAATTCAGCACTGGGGGGGGACTGTCTATCGGAAATTGTAAAGATATGCTCATTTTAAAATTATTTTGGGATATTGCAGTTGAATTGAATTTTATGGTTTAAGTGCAAAGAACATGGTATAAATAAAGGTGACACACAAAACGTTAAAAAACGCCCTTTTGGGCGTAATGTAAAATCTGAAAGCTTTCTGATTTTTCTTTTTTTTTTTTCTTTTTTTAAATATATTTTCTTACCATAAGCGAAGAACTTATTATCCGTTTGATACGTTGTTTCAAACGTCAATAAATGAGTATTTATGTGCGCAAAATTATGAAATGAATTTTACTTCTCAAGATGTTAAAAATAATAAAGGAAAACATTTTTATCAGGAGAACTATATTTAATTAAAAATGAGCTTTGGTACTATATTAAATGAAAGAACATTAATTTCAAATGATTTTTTATATTTTAGAGTTTTTTTTTTAAAATATAACAGTTTATTATGCAAAGAATAAATATTATTCGCTACTTCTGTGGCTTTGTCTTAAACCAGTGGTAATGAGACTCAAATGCATACGGCCGAATCACGATATGAAAATAGTTGAGGGCCAGAATATATTTTTCTAACACAATCAAAAATTTTATTGAGAAAATAAAAAAATTTAAAAGAAATTAATTTTTTTTTTACTAAATATTTATCAAAACATACATAAACAGTAATAATAATATATCAAACGAAAAAAATTCAAATTTATATTTCTTTTCTATGTGAAATACAAAGTTCGGGGTAGTTACATATTTTTGCAATCGTTTTAGAAGTCTAAAAATTTTCAGAAGTCGCCAAATTCTTGCAAGTTTGCGCATAACAGTTTTTTAGGTAAGTTTATCTACTGTAAGTTACAATCCGAAAATTCATCGATTCAGCTTTTTCTTCTGTAAAAAGTCCCCAAACTGCGACCAGATGGTTGCGCTAATACGTAAGCAGTAATACGTAAGTAGTTGTAAGACGCTTTTATGGGTAACGCTTTGTAATTCAAATGTATTGACAGCTAAATATTAAATTTCCAAACTGGAATTTAATTAAAATAATTCTAATATGCTTAGTTAACCACTAAATAACTTACTTTAATTTAATACAAAAGTAAGAAAATTATGAACACTTTTTAAGTTTTCAGAGAAAATTTATCAGGTGAGACCAAACTTGAGAATAAATGATAATACGAGTATCTAGTCTCTTTAAATTTCCCTTCGACGCATAAATAAAAATACAGCTGTTTGTATGTAAATAGTTATAAACTTCTTTACTGTTTGCTATAAATTCGCAGCTTTGGAGACAAATAAATAGAAATTATCTTCATCACGGATTGTATATGATCATAAGTCAACCAGGTTCTTTTCTTATTCATTTTCAACTGTGAAGGGATGCTGTTCACATATAACATGTATTACGAAACAAGTACTGCAAAAATTCGTAACTCAGCTTATTTATTTTTTTGAAAAGTGATAATAAAAGTTAATCAAATTTTTACATGAAATCTTTGAATAAGATCTACATCACCCTGTAAATTCATTTTCTCTATTTATAAATTTTCTGTTGCTTTATTCATGCCCGTTGTTAATATTAATGAAAATAATACAAACTTAAATTTCAAATAATTAAATGCTTGAATTTTTTCAACACCGTATATGATACAAATGCAAGATTGAAATGTCTTCGCAGACCACATAAAATTGCTTCGGAGGCTGCAGTTTTGAGACCGCAATTTTGAATCATTAAGGTTTAGGAGATTAATTAATAAATCTAAAAGGAAACAAATAAAGGATGATGACTGTGGTAAGGAATAACTAATCTATTATTAGCATGAGACTTTTATGTCAAAGAATGTTTACTGTGTACCAACATCAGATTTTTAGATTTGGTGATGAAGCTAAAATATCATATTCTTATTATAACTAATTATTAAGAAATTAATTTTTTCAGTGTATGTATATTAATGTACATATATTTTAGTTCAAGAAAAAAAGATGTATTATAATTATTAATTATAGTATTATTATAATAATTATTTATATTCGTAAAATTATACAAGCAGTTATAATAATTATTGCATTAGAATTCTTCGTGGTGAAAAAATATACAATAAAATGTAACAATTAAATAATTAAAATAATAATTATTTTACAATAATGGATAGTTATTACATTGTATCATAAAATTATATATATATATGAAGCAAAATTCAAGTTTGACAGCACTTATATTTTTATCAGTATATAAATAAATATATAAAGCATAAAATTAACCACAACGCAATCAACCAGCTTATCGTTACAAAAATCATTACAAATGATGATCAGCATATCATCTTAGATTACTTAAAAAGTAATTTCAAATCTGTGCTCTTTGAACAAATTGAAAATAAATAAGGAACAGATAAGAACGGAAAATATTCCTATTAGTATGAAATATATTTCATGTTTATGAAGCATAACCACCCTATTTCGCCAATAAATCTGTTCGAATGGTGCATGCGTGTTTGTGTTCATGGTCGTGGCCTGCGCGGTTGCGATTATCATTTTCGTTAAAAACTCAGAAGTACAGGATGGCCTCACCAAGCTTAGAATGGTTAACCCCTTAACCTACGATTTAGATTCGAAGATGTTGGGCCGAAATTGTATACAAGCTCGCGCAGCGTTCGGGACATTTGCACGACTTGTGTAACACGCCAATCCGGGCAGTCGTATACATGACGAATTATGTAATTTTCGAAGAAAGTATAGGCGAATAATTATTGATGATTCATCTGATGACGATCAGCTACCAGAGTCCTGGCTTTAAGAAGAAATAAGAAATAGTCCAAAAATCTGGGACTATGCGATGACTCCTGGCATAAGAGAGGAAGCCTTATGTCAATTCGGAGGAAGTAGAGGAGAATTTGATATATTTAATCTAATATTTGATGACATATTTTGGAACAATATTGTAACCGAAACGAATCAGTATGCAGATCAAGTACGAGAAAATCCACATAGAACACGAGTGTAAAAGTGTAAAGTTCCGTTACATGTACCAGAAATGCTTTGAAATATATCATACCGTTACAGATTACTAATTTTGTATTTTGGAGTTTTGTATAAATAAACATTTTGTAATACTTGCGTCTACCACAATTATTGCATCAGACTGTAACTGCGTATCAAATATTCCACGTAATATTCACTTCTGGCCCGATCATCGTACGCGGCCTATGCCCGTGAAAGTTAGGTTTGGCCCGACCATCGTACGTGGGCTATGCCCGTCATTGTAGATTAAGCGGTTAAGACAGCTTAATACGGGAGTTCGACGCGGGTTCGATCCTAGGCGTACGAAATGGTTGGTTTTCCTCATGTTCATTATGAATACGAGCCGGTTTTCCTTAGAAAAACTTTCACGAAGGCATCTCTTCCCTTATGGAGATAGCCTTTACGTGTTTTGCGCTTTTCAAATAACCTTACCGAAGCCAGGCTCCAGATGAATTTACGTAATTTGCATCTCAAAAACACGCCTTTGCTGAAAGAGTGCTAAAGTTAGTTGATTTATTTTTATTTATGGTGCTTAA